TCACATCGCCTATCTCCACAGGTTAAGCTCAGTTCACCTGTGCCTAAAGCCAGGTTTACACCTGCTATCCCACCATTGCAACTGCCATATCAAACAAGTCCTGCTCTGTTGGAAAGGTGCCCCCTTTGCAGAAAGACAGTTATTTCTAGGACACACAGAGGATGCTCAGGAAGGGGAGAAGGCACATTTGGCTAGTACAACATCCACTTGCTGTCCCACTTGCTACAAGAATCACAGAGATGCTGGCTACCTGCACAGAACCGAAACCAGATCTGGATGTTATCTCAAGCACCATGGGTTCAAGTAGCCCATCAGTACATCCCGATTGGGGTGTATACTAACTGATCCCCCTCCCCTAGTCCATCCCTACACCACCACAAGTGGAGAAGAAGGGCTAACACAGCAAGAGAGGAGGATGCCTCAACACCCAGCCTGGATATGGCTAGACAGTATGGTGTGAAAGACTCTTCTCACCAGCTGCTGCTGCTCCTACATGCTCTGTGGATTCGACTGGCTACACAAGAGCAGGGCTTTATTGCTGGATTTACCTTTGACAACTTTAACCATAGTGGTCACCTCCTTTGTTATCAAGCTGTTATTTTTAGACCTCCAGATGACTTGACAGGTGTAGTGTCCGCTGTCGGGGATTTCAAGGTTCTCAATCAGAAGTGAGACGTCCCCTGGGCTGTGCTTTGGGACGCTGACCCGGTCTCGGAACTGAGACAACAAGACGTGGTCACCAGAGTCGTCCCTCCGAAAGATAGTAGAGGTGCTGTGGTCTCGCTCCATGCTCCAGCTGAGCGTTTGCTGTGTGAAACCTTCTGAGGGTGTGTAGTTACAGGGTAAAGTGGTGGATGCCATCCATGTGCCCTTGACCTGGTGAACACCAGACAGATCCAGGAGGGCTGCAGGGAACAAGAGTTGAAGGGAAGAAATAAGAATGGAGCAGAAGAGGAGAATGTCCTTAGGATTGACGGGAATCACCAGGCAGTGGAAGCCAGCATGCGGCCACGTCTTGAATGTGCTGTAGACCACAGCCAGCTAAACTAGGGCCTGTCCCCACTTCACTGAGCATAGGGAAGTGAACAGTTGCTTCAACCTCATGGCTATTTTTATTGTTTCCCTCTGGACACTTGCCAGTTGTCAATTCCTTCTTGGTACAGAGAGGCACAAATCCTGCTCCTGGTGGCAACATCACAGCTACAGCCTTCACAAGACCTGAAGGGGCATCTCTAATTCCCGCTCTCAACCCCCAGCCTTTACACCCTACCGCTCCTGCTTGGCTTTCTGCTTACACTTGCACATGATGAGTCAAACAGCAACCGCTTCCCCCCACTGACACGGGATGCTCTGACAACACCACTTGCAATGTGGACTTCTACCTTCTGTACGGGAAGAAGGATGAGCAAAGCAAGTTTACTGCTTCGCTGCAATTGATAATGAATGCAAGATGTTTGCATTCATTAATGTCATTATGTTTTTGTGCAACTTCCCTGGTGCTTACAGGACCCAGCAGTATAGCTGTGCGGGGAGAAGCACTTCTCTGTGCGACAGCCTGTCCCAGAGCTAACAGGAGGTGCCAGCTGGGGGAAGGCAAGCGTGTGTGGATCTGTGTCCACGGGGACAGCGGAGGGGACTGCTGGGGCTGAGCATGCTGGAAGCTTGTTTCTGACATGGAGCTTTGGTTTTCCTTTACCAGACGACTTAGGACAGGCACCGCTCCATTCTTCAAATCTCACATCCCAATCAAATGCAACTCTTTGATCTATCAGGTTTTAAAGGTTTTCCATTTCTCTTCTTCCTCTTTTCACAAACTCCCATCAAGAAAAACTAAGAAGGGTGGAAGCTATCTAGAAAGCGGCTCAGAAATACCCTCAAGGCATTTGGTGCACTCAAGTTCAAGTATGTTTGCTATTCAATACTGTACTCATCTGGACACAATTTTGTTTAAACATCTCTCCAGTATTGTTTTGCATTGTGTGCCATGAAATAGCTGCTAGCATCCACTGATTCCCTGCGGGGCAGCTGCACTCTGTATATGACCAATTTCAACATTAGCAGAGATGACTCCAAAGGAGAGCTGATTGGAAGAAATGGGAGAAACTCAGCCAAATAAAAATGCCTGAGACAGCATTCTTAAAAGAATTATTTCCTCCCAGTGAGACTTTTTAAACTGGGATATAGTCTTCCAGACAAACAATGTGAATTCTCCCAACAGAGGGAAATAGAGCTGGACCAGACAAAAACCTGAAGGGCTATGTTAGAGATTAGAAGACTGATCAGAGGGATTTGTATTATCTATAATGCACGATAACGGCAAAAAAAATTGAACTCTTATGTTCCGTCCATTTTCTAAAATGGTTGAGCATCTTCCTGCCTAGCCTGCCAGCCCCAGCTGTCCTGGTGGCATGGAAGTGCCATGCAGGCAGGAGCCTTTAAGGGATCTGCTCTGAAGTACTGGGCCTGGGACAGGAACGGTGGATCAAACCCAATCTTTTTGCTTTAGGCTTAGAGAACTTCAGATCTGACCTCGATTTCTTGGATTATACCTGTTTTAACCAGATAAACTCCTGCCAAGCACTCAAGTGGGCACAGGAGAAGAGGGGGCAGATTTTGTGGTAGCTGGCTCATTCTCCCAATCTTTCCAGCTGTCTGCCCACTGAGACCACAGCTCCTCTGGGAAGTGCCTCTTATAAGTAGCAAATTACCTGAATTTAGCTGGACTTGTCTCACCTCTACCCATACGCCCTTATCCCGCTCCCCCTTTCCCCTGCTTCCCAGAAAGGCGCTGGTTATGTTCAGCTGCGCTCACTCACAATGAGTCGCTTGAGAGGCAGCTCCCAGAAATCTGCAACGCTGGTTTTTTTATGATGAAATGGGGAACATATGTTGTTTTTCTAAATGTCAGGAGCAATTCTGTGCTTCTGTATAGTTAAAACACCTTTCAACTAGTTAAAACACCTTTCCCCTGTTTCCCACAGCCTTCCTCTGCTGGTGTCATTGTCGTATGTGCCCTGGGAATGCCTCATGGGCATATGAATTAAAGCAGAGATTCCAGTATCACCTCTCCTAACACACCAAGAGAGTTAGCAGATCTGGAGAGACCAAGGGGAATCGTGTGTGCGCCTGCAACTAGTCTCACAATTACAGCTCCTCTTCTTCCCAGGACCATGCTAGCAGAACAGTGATGCATTATTAAATTCTAGAAGAATGCATATTCCAGCTTCTCAAAGACTGTGTCAGAAGCTAACACACCAGAGCAAGTCCTCTCCAAGGGTCCTGAACGATCCTGTTTCGTTCCTGCTTTGGGGCATGGGAGGTGACCTTTTGCCCAATAGTGCCCCGTTTGCTCCATTCTTAAAAGCACCTTGTTGTATCCGATACCAAGGGGACTCTTGTGAATTCTCAGGCTCTATTTTTCATACAAGAAACTAAAGACTTTCTACACTTGTCAATTTTTTAAAATTAAGACACTATAATTCAAAAGATTTTCCCTACCTTCTTAGTACTCTCATTTTTGTTCTTACGCATTGAAGCATTTACTCACCGTTGCAGCTGATGAAAGCCATCGCAAACACCACTATCCGCGCAGCTTCTCCCATTCTTCCAGAACTGCAGGTCTGTCCTCCTTTCCCTGCACTTTGTGTGAGACCCCCACGCTCCTGGGATCAGAATGCAAGTGAAGAACACTTCCCTTTCTTCTGTCCTTTGTCATCTAGGATCCTCTTTCTGAAATATCACGAGTCCATTTCACTGCTGACTTAGGTAAAGGGAGAAGGATGAACAAAGACTATCAGGATCCTTCCAGTTCCAATTCATATGCTTCTGTCCCCACCCACTTCTCTTACCATTCTCTTGACTTTTCTGACTAGTGCTCTTTTTTATTATTCTTCATAGAA